TGGATATATATATACATATATATATACACACGTATACATAGCTTGTCCAATTTATTTTTCCATTTTGTAATAATATTCTTTTTTCATTATCTTTAGTATGTTTCAGACCGTAATTCTTTTGACACCGCCGTCGAAACGATCGGCCGCCGGAAGTGGCCTAGATCGATTGCTCTTCGAGCATCCCGCTTCAACCTTACGCCCGCCATTTTCTTTCTTCTGTTCACCGATTCACCGAGCAGCTGTTTTATATGTTTCACATTTCGATGTTCCACTGAACATCAACTCTCCGATGAAGCTTCAAGAATAAAACTCGAGAATGTACAGATTAAAACTCTTCGATATTGAATACGCGAATCGTCATTGTCGAAGAGCGAACATTAAAAAATCAGGAAAACCCTCGAACGAATAAGAGACTCGAAGCACGTTAAATCCAAAGTTCCTACCACAAGCGTCATCCGCAGCGAAAACAGAGGAAACGAATCTACTTTGGCACTGACGTACGTATCAATTCGTGAACCGCGAGGATCGGGGGATCACGCGAACATATTGCATCAATTCAGCCGCGAACCCTTGTAACCCGGAAATCGGGAAGAATCTATTAACCGCGAGATCAGGCTAAACCAGTTCGATTCCGTTCTCAACTTTCCGAAGCACAGCGAAGAAGCGAAAGAAAGAAAATGGCGGGACACTGTTCCTTCCGCCGATTTCTTCGCACCGGTGTCCTCCACTTCCGGCGACCAGGTTGCGAGCAGCGTGCCCCTGTGGCCCAGACTTATACGTCGGATAGTAGCAAGAACACACGGCAAAATCATAAAAAAACAACCAAGAATTGTTACGCGGTGGCTGTCCGTGGCGACGACGTTCCCTGTCGAGTTCCGCTCGGCGTTCTCTCGACCCGAGAGAGCTCGACGGGCGTTCTCATCGGTATCGGACTCGAAAAAATGACTGGTTCGTTGCCGATATGTCTACCGGCTTGCCCGCAACCTCTCATTCGCGCTGCGCAACCTTATTTCGCCCTTTGCCCGTCGTTCGTTCACTTGCTCTTCGATGACGCCTCCATCGCGCGCCGCGTGGACGATCCACGAGACTGTATGATCGTATCCTCCGCTCCTTTCCAATCGATCCCGGTCCTTTCTCCAATTTACTCGTCGATTTACTGCTAGAACCGGTCTTTGTTCACCTGAATCGCGCAAAGATCGGTTCCAAGCAGCGAAGGGCGCGATGAGGAGCGGATCCCGCGAATGAAAGGCTGCAGCAAGCGTCCTCGCGCGATCACATGTCCGATAAGCAGCGCGTCACGTGTCATGGCACTATAGTTTTCCTTTCGAGTTTCCTGCTTCCGATTGTTGCTTTGTATGTACCATTTTAGCCCTTGCAGTCTGATTTTGTGTTCGTCTAACGCTGCGATCGGGGTCTGCGAAGCTTGTGTGAGAGATTCTGTGTGCGCTTCGTCGAGCGTGCCGCTTTTTCCCCGTTTCACGCTGCGCCGTCTCGCTGTTCGTGTCTGTTCGCCCGAAAGTTTCGTTGGATGGGGTTGAAACGCGAGGTAAAGCGACCGGGAGAAATTGATTTTGGTTGGATGGTGGTCGGATCCGAGGACACGAGATTCGGGAGCTTCCCTTCTTGCTTCGCTTCGGTTTTTTAAAGAAAATCGGGACGTTCAACCTCGTTCGCGCGGGTTTTCGAGGGATTTCGACGGGGAAACGACTGGTTCACTTCGTTTCAAAATCAAAAGCATTTTACGTATTCAATGTTCTCCTGTTCGAGATGAACCGATCTAGAACGTTTCACGTTGAAACTTCGAAGAATGCAATCATCCGATCTCCGACGTGTAAAGTTTCTTCGCCGATTCGTTGTTGGCTTTGCAAAGAGTTGAAAGAGAAACTATTTCACTGTATTTCTCGGCGTACACGTTAATGTTTCGCGATGAAACAATAGCAAATTATTAAAATCAACTGATCCCGAGTCGATAGACCGACAGACTCAGCTGGAACGCGGTTTCTAAGTCGTCGCGAGATAAAGGAACTAAAAAGGAAAGAGAAGGGAAACCTTCAGGTCGCGCGAACGGGGAACAGCGATGCGTCACGCGGAAAAACGACTCGGTCGACGCGCAAAGAGGGAAATACTTTCCCTCGCGACGCGCGAGATGTGGACCGGAACATGTGCGTGCACGCGCGGCGATGGATACCGGTAACCGTTTATTTCACTGTCAACTGATAACCAAATATCAAATGTAATAACAATAATATTAGCGGCAATATAAATTAGTCGATAATAATAACTGTAACATTAACGTAACCGTAGTAGTAGCGGTAATCATAATCGTGACGGTAAACAATTAACCAATAACGTACTTATCATTACATGCGTATATTAAATGAAGTTATCCGACATAAATTACGGCTTAACCCTAAACGCTTAGTGTACGACTTAAGATTTAAGTAAACCCCACCCTGCCGCGGGGGATGCCATGCATGCACCACCCAAGGGCGGACACCTTAAGAACCTAGTAAATCCTAAAACCGGAAGCTCCGCCGTACCGACAGGCCAGCTGCCTTCTTTTTTTCTTTTTTTTGTTTCCTAATGGGTTTTTCTCTGTTTTCTCCATTTCTTCCATCTCTGCTCTTCCATTCCTCTTTCTGTTTCATTTGTTTGTCTCGTCTGCTCGCATCTCGCCCTCGTCTGTCGCGCGCGGACGCGCGTACACGCGCGCGTGTATGCGTGACGCTAGTACGCGTGTACGCGCGTCGCGCGATCTCGCAAGAATCTCGCGTCGTAAATCGCGTGTACATCGCCTCGCCTCTTCTCGAAATTCTTTGATCTCCTCCGACGACGATCCCTCGAAGAGGACCGTTTCCTCCTCGACCCGTTCGCTCGCCTCGCGACGGAGGGGTCGCCGCTCGTTGCCGCTGGGATAGGCGGTTCCCGCCGAGCTCCTGGAACCTTCCTCTCCCGTCCATCGATCCGAGGAGGCTAGCCGCCCCGCGAATCAACCCCGTTCCCGAATCCAACCCTCCATCCTCCTCCCTCTGTCGGGTGGTCCGGGGATCGAAGAAGCGCCGGATCGATTCGAAGAACGAACGAGACGTTCTCTGGGATCTCTGTACCTTCCTCCGATCCTTCCTCTTCGTCCCTGTTGCTCCCTTTTGCCCTGTCTCCGTGCGTGCTCTCAAGAATCCATCGTACTTTCCTCGTGCTGCCTCAATCGTCGCGCCATCGTCCTCCGATTCCAACGCGAACGACTCCTCTCGAAACTGCTGCCAGAGAGGATACCAGCTATCAGCCTCTCGGACGACGATCCAACTGGCTGGCGAAGAGAGTAGCTGTCAGCCTGTTAGGTGGCGAAGGACTGGCTGGCGAAGAGAGTACCAGATACCGATTCCTCGGGTGAACTATCCAACGCGGTAGCGAAGAGAGTACCAGCTGTCAGCCACTTAGATGACGGTCCAAAGCGCTAGCAGAGAGAGAGAGTGAGAGAGAGAGAGAGAGACAGAGAGAGAGAGAGAGTACCAGCTACCAGCAGCCTCTCAGCTGGTTCAGCGGGCGCCGGCGAACACCGGCAACAGGAGATCGCTGAAGTGCTCGGCGTCGTCGTCCTCGTCGTCGTCCTCGTCGATGGGCAGCAGCAGGACAAAAGGGATGAGAGAGGGGCGCGAGTCCCGCCGCGAGGCGAACGGCCGATGGTTGTAGCGTGCCAGGCGGA